CCCTACCATTGAGGAGGTAGATTAGGGGCCTTATTTTTGCCTTTGTTTTGTGTTTGAGATAGAGCAGACCCCAAGGATTTTGATGATGCCCTGTATTTTAGTCCTCTACTATGTCAGTTCATTGTAAGGTTAGGTTGTAACTTCATACAATTTTCTTTTTTTTTTATTCTTTGTATTATAACCAATGTGTTCATATCTCTGCCTTTCACATAAGTGGGTACTGTAAGGGTGGCTTTCCTTTCTCTCTCTCTCTCATCAACACTGCCACCCTCTCTTATTTTTTGCTTTGTAAACACACCAAAGCTCATGGAATTTTTAATTTGTATACTTAAGGAATAAAAATAAAACGTGAAATATGTGTGTCGTCTTTTATTTGGAGAGGGGTAATGGACTCTTTTTGGAATGTTTGAATTCCACAGGTCATGAAAGGGCAGTGCTTTTGAAGGGAGATTCACATATTAGGAGCCATCACCATGTTTATTTGTGCAGGGACTTTATTGTAGGTGCTAAATTACATCTGTGACAGAAAACAAATTCCATGTGCCCATTTTGATTGGTGGGTTTTGTTTCAGGGCAAAGTGGGGATGGGGGCTGCAATAGGGTTGTGGGGAGGAGAGGCTGGTGTTGGTTTAAAGGTGGTATTAAGAGGGGTTCATGTTCCTTATTCTCTTGCACCTAATGTGCAGAGCATTCCTTTTTCATTTGACCTGTGAGTCTTCCAGTCTTTTCTGTAAGTTCTAAGCAACTTTAGGGGTGGGCAAAACAGTAAATAAGATGCAGAATCATACTCGGTTTTATAAATCCCACCTGGGTGACCAAGTTTATTATTTAGTATTTTAGTTTAGGTCACCTCCTTGTAAAATACAGCATTTGAATGGCTTCACTTAGAAGTGGGCTGTAGGCAAGCAACATCTTCAGCCATGATGACGAGCTGCAGTTACCCACCCAGGAGTCTGGAGAAGTGAGATACTGAGTTTGGGGTCGTGGTAATAAAGAGGGATGGGCTAAGCACTGTACCTGGTTCTTTGAGTCACCCCCAAAATCCTCAGTAATTTTCATCACACCACTCTCTACCCTAAGTATTCTAAAGCATTTTTCATAGGTTAGCACATGGAGGTGATCACTTAAGCTATATCCAGGGCAAAATTAGCAACAAGAGATGGTTTTGAAACCATAGTTTTTTCACACTACCTGATCACGGGGGTTGGCCCTGGGTGGTTCCTATCTAAGTGGTGATTTTACCTGAGTTTTAAGGATCAGTATCCTCTTTTTCCTTTTAATGGACAATCTCAAAATAATAGCAACTTTAATAGCACATTTAATTATGAAAAGAGGAAATAAAAGCTGTGCAGCATAGAGCTGGGAAGATGAGGAGATGGGCTTTCCTTTCACACAAGCCCTTCCCTTTGGGGTTCTTCTCACCTGAGCAGTTAAATGTCCTGAAGAGTTTCTCTAGCCTGATAGAATCCCAACCTCCTTTCTTCCAAAAACTTAACTTGAGAATATCTACTCCAAATCAAAGTTCCATGTGTTATTTCTCAATAAATGCTTCCCCTCTGGGAAATTAAAACATTTTAAGAATGACAAAGTGTGGGAAACCTTGCAAAGGAAAAAGTACCATATTGGTTCCAGGACCAGTTCCCAAAGGCTGGTTTTACTCACAAGATAGGTGAACTATAATATACCCTCTGATCATAGCATATGGTATATGCAGTTTTAATTGCTGCACCAGCAGAAATGGGGGGGTGGCTTTCTTAACTTTTTAAAAATTTAATCTGCCAGGCAGTACAGGGAATTAATCTTTTAACTTCAAACCACTGGAGTCATGGTGTATACCGAAATCATTTGACGGGGATAGGTCCCCCAGGAGTCAGAGTCTCTGGGATTGGGCAAAGGCATCATATAGAATTAAAACTGCCTGGTTGTTCTGAATGTGCGGCCAAGGTTTAGGAAAAACCACTGCACCAGGGGCTACTCCTGATTGTTTTTAGAGGGATGGGGTCACTGGAGAGTAAGGACAGGAAGATGTCAGTGCTTCCAGGAGCAGCAGATGGTGGCAAGGGGCTTTCTGCTGTGAACCAGAGCCAGAAGCCTTCAAAGGTCTTAAAGTTTTGATGCAGCAGCAGCAGCAGCAGCAGCAGCAGCAGCAATGATAAAGGTTAGAGAAGTGGCCAGCAACAGCAAAATGAGCCAAAAAAGAGTTTCTGAGGCTGGCACAATTAGTTTCATGAATTCTCATTAGGGAAGTAGTTCGTTAGAAAGCAGCATCAGAATATGAGAAGTCATCGCCTATACACTTCTTGAAACTTAAAATCACTTTGCAAGATCAATGATAGGAAGGGCTCAACCCCTGGAAGCTGAGAAATGTGTCAAACAAACAGGTGAATACTGTAGGGTTCTTGGAAAAGACTTTTTGATGGATGCCTGAAGCCTTGGAGGGAGGGAGGGCGGGCAGACTGAACAATAATTGCAGGAGAAAAAAATAAAAGGATACATTTCCTGCACCCATGATTGCCTTCGTCCAATTTTGCTCTGTGCTCTCTGTGCCTAAATTATGTGACTCAGAAGACTGATTTCGCATAACTCGGAACTCCCAAATCATCCTGGTAGATGGGACTTTCTCACAAAAGATGAAAAAGATATCAACACACATCGCCAAACTCTATCTGCATAAATGAACAGTTACAGAAGGGGTCAGGAAAGTAGGGTCTGGGGTAATATATGAGTTGATGGATTAAGAGCAAGTGACTAGATTGCTGAGAGAGTGAAAACCAGCCGAGGGAGAATAGGGCCTGTTGCCCTCCACCCCAACATGTTTTGCTTCCAACCACCTGAAACTTCACAGTGCTATTCACAGTGTACTGAACACTTCCACCATTTCTGGCCAAGTCCCAGGCCATGCACTACTGCACTACTCATGAAAAGGACATGGGGAAATGGGGAATAGCTGTTTATAGGCACAAATTTCAGTTTTGCAAGATGAAAAAGTTCTGGAGATCGGTTGCACAACAATATGAAAATGTTAACACTATTGAACTGCAAACGTTAAAAGCTTACAATTTTTTTAAATGTACCAAATTGTGTATTTTAAATACTTGTTCACTATACCTTAATAAAGTTAATACAAAAAAAAAGGAGGCATGAAAGTTAATGTGCCTGACAAGTCTGCAGGTTGGAATGAGGAGGCGATTTCAGATTTCGCTGGCTAGACGGAGCGGGGTGACAGTCCCTCGGAGTGACCTGGACCCAACCTGGGACAAGTGAAGACGAGAGAGAAGTCCGGGGGTTATTACTCAACACAGGACTGGACTCGCTGAGAAACCGCCAAGAAGAGCGCTCAGTTGCGCGCGCACCTGACAGCGCCGGGGACTTTGTGCGGCCTGGCCAGTCAAGTCACCTGTTTTTTGTTTTTCAAAACTCGCAAAACATCTCCGAATATTTGCCCAGAAGAGTGTGAAACATTCACTCGTAGCCTCTCTTTCACTTTGTTTCAGTCTTGTTTGGACGAGCGATGGAAAAAATGCTGCGGGTCAAGACAGGCATCTAAGAAGACAGCCATGCCCGTCAGGCCCCCGACCCCACGCCGCCATAAATAGCCCCGGCCGAGCGTTTTTGGTTCTCTTTGTGCGGTGAAGTCGTGGGTAGGTGGCATGGGAGCTGTATGGTGTGTGCCAAGCGTGCTGCGGACCTTTCCCCGAATTAGAGGAAGGCGGCACCCTGCGCCATCTTTGCACAGCTGCCCGCGTGCAGGTACCTCGGGGCCCTGCTGATTGAGGGACCGCACTCTCGGGCTAAGCAGGATGAACTGCCATTACAGACTAGAGTTTCTGATGTCTCTGTGACGCCAGTGCTTGGAACTGACCCAGCCTGGGGCAGGGGGGACTCCTCTGGAGTCAGCCTAGCCTCTGCTGACTGTTTCCCAGGGCCCTGATTCTGGAAGCCGGATCTGCAGCTCCATGGGGGTGAGTGTAGTGTGCGAGATGGCGGTCGCACTGGGGGAGGACGGAGGTGATGATGAACCCAGGTGATTCTGAGTGTCTCGCTGACGCCATCACCGCAGCGCGCTGAACACCCCTATCCCCCGGGCCGGGATTACTAGTAGTTGGTCTTGGGGAGAAGTTGATGTCCAGGAACCCTTAGTGATCACTTATTCGTGTGTCGTTTCTCCATTAGGGGTTTAAGACGTCCACCAGTGTGTTACCCTTGAGTAAAGGTGAGTATTAGGGTTGCGGGCGCTCTCAGCGGCTGTCCCAGATCATGTTTTTAACTTCAGATTTTTGTCTAAGCCCGCTTAAACCTGCTTCCTCCACCCCTTTTTCAAATACAAACTTCTCTTCGTGCTGGGTTCCTCTGGTGGAGCTGGCGCTATCCTCTGCAGTTATAAATTTGTTTTCCATTTCTCCTCTTGAACATCCCAGCCCTGAACTCATAATTATGTTAGGTCCTTATACTGGGACCGTTGTTTTTGAATGTTTTAGATCCCTTCCAGTGGTGGCTTCCATTGATCCAGGTCTCTCTAAGTTGGGAATGATGATTTCTCAGACTAGAGTCTCTGATGCTGGTCCTGATGTCAAAATTCATTTCTGACCCATTTGGGGAACCTGGATACTTGGATTTCTGAGAAAGGCTAATGGAAGGGCTGTAACTGTCTTTTTTCATGAGTTGTCCTGTTTTCATCTTTGTAGCAT